AATAATAATAATAATAATAATAATAATTTATTACATTTGTAAAGCGCTTTTCATTATATAGAATAATCTCAAAGTGCATAAAATAGAAATATATATATACTTTTTTTAAACTTATACTGTGTAGTGTGTGTGCGGGTGTGCGTGAGTGTGTGTGTTTTCCGCAATTGCTAATGGCCATATTATGATGAATTGGCTTCATAATTCCAGTTAGGTAGTCTAGTGATTAAATCTTAATTAAAGCGCCCAGTCACTCCCTGCTCCACGTAGATTGCCAGTAAACTAATTTACTCTTTATTCTGCAGTAATTTTGTGACTGAACCAACAGCAAACAACAACTCTCACAGTACACACAAACAAAGCATACTATTTTCTGGTTAGGGTTAGTTCCTTTTCGCACACCGTCCCATCGTTTTATCCCAGTTAAGAGACACAAAGGTAACCATGGGACTAAAAAAGATTCAGAAAGACCTCCCTACACACACACACACACACACACACACACACACACACACACACACACAAGAGAGAGCCCAAAAATACATTCCTTGATGTTTGGTCTCCTAATTAATGTTGTCTAATTTCCTCTTGTGGCTCTTCCAATTGAGATAACTGACCCACTAATGAGTATCAGAAGTAACAGTCTGTGATAGCTATTGAAACACTGAACTACACTATATCTGCAGAACATAGTATGCATCTCTTTAAGCTAGTATAGCTGTGTTGGTCTGAGCTCCACTCTACTGCCTGATGGAGATCTCCAGTAGAGGGCACTCTTCCTCCTGACACTTGACAACTGTATTCATACCCCTTGACTTAATCCACATTCTGTTGTGTTACAGGCTGAATTCAAAATGTATTACATTTATTTTTCTCTCAACCATCTACACACAATACTCCATAATGACAAAGTGAAAACATGTTTTTAGAAATGTTTGCAAATTTATTGAAAATGAATTACAGAAATATCTAATTTACATAAGTACTCACACTCCTGAGTCAGTACTTTGTAGAAGCACCTTTGGCAGCGATTACAGCTTTGAGTCTTTCTGGGTAAGAGCTTTCCACACCTGGATTGTGCAACATTTACCCATTATTCTTTTCAAAATTCAAGCTCTGTCAAATTGATTGTTGATCATTACTAGACAGTCATTTTCAGGTCTTTCCATAGATTTTCAAGCAGATTTAAGTCAAAACTGTAATTCGGCCACTAAGGAACATTCACTGTCTTCTTGGTAAGCAACTCCAGTGTAGATTTGGCCTTGTGTTTTAGGTTATTGTCCTGCTGAACGGTAAATTCATCTCCGAGTGTGTGGTGGAAAGCAGACTGAACCAGGTTTTCCTCTAGGATTTTGCCTGTGCTTAGCTCCATTCCGTTTATTTTTTATCCTGAAAAACTCCCCAGTCCTTAACGATTACAAGTATACCCATAACATGATGCAGCCACCGCTATGCTTGAAAATATGGAGAATTGTCACACCCTGATCAGTTTCACCTGTCTTGTGCTTGTCTCCATCCCCCACCAGGTGTATCCCATTTGTCCCCATTATCCCCTGTGTATTTATACCAGTGTTTTCTGTTTGTCTGTTGCCAGTTCGTCTTGCTCGTCAAGCTTACCCGCGTTTTTCCCGTACTCCTGTTTTGCTCTAGTCCCTGTTTTCCAGTTTTTCCCGGTTTTGACCATTCTGCCTGTCCTGACCCTGAGCCTGCCTGCCGTTCTGTACCTTGTGACACTGTTCTGGATTACCGACCTCCGCCTGCCCTGATCCTGAGCCTGCCTGCCGTTTCTGTACCTTTCGGACTCTGCTCTGGATTACTGACCAATGCCTGCCCTTGACCTGTCATTTGCCTGTCCCCTGTTTTTGTAAATAAACGTTTTGCTATTTTGAACTGTCTGCATCTGGGTCTTATCCTGAGTCTTGATAGAGCATGGTACTCAGTAATGTGATGTATTGGATTTGCACCAAACATAACACTTTCTATTCATGACAAAAAGTGAATTGCTTTGCCACATTTTTTGCAGTATTACTTTGTGCCTTGTTGCAAACTGGAAGCATGTTCTGGAATATTTTTATAATTTACAGGCTACCTTCTGCTCACTCTGTCAATTAGGTTACTATTGTGGAGTAACTACAATGTTGTTGATCCATTCTCAGTTTTCTCCTATCACAGCCATTAAACTCTGTAACCAGCAATTGAGTTAGGAAAGACACCTGTATCTTTGTAGTGACTGGGTGTATTGATACACCATCCAAAGTGGAATTAATAACTTCACCATGCTCAAAGGGATATTCAATGTCTGCTTTTTTTTTAACCCATCTATCAATAGGAGCCCTTATTTGCGAGGCATTGGAAAACCTCCCTGGTCTTTGTGGTTGAATCTGTGTTTGAAATTAAATGCTCGACTGAGGGACCTTACAGGTTATTGTATGTGTGGGGTACAGAGATGAGGTAGTCATTCAAAAATACTGCACACAGAGTGAATCCATGCAACTTATTATGTGACTTGTTAAGCATATTTTTACTCCTGAACTTCAAATCAAATCAAATCAAATTTTATTGGTCACATGCGCCGAATACAACAGGTGCAGACATTACAGTGAAATGCTTACTTACAGCCCTTAACCAACAGTGCATTTATTTTAAACAAAAAAGTAAGAATAAAACAACAACAAAAAAGTGTTGAGAAAAAAAGAGCAGAAGTAAAATAAAGTGACAGTAGGGAGGCTATATATACAGTAAAATAAAGTGACAGTAGGGAGGCTATATATACAGGGGGGTACCGTTGCATAGTCAATGTGCGGGGGCACCGGCTAGTTGAGGTAGTTGAGGTAATATGTACATATGGGTAGAGTTAAAGTGACTATGCATAAATACTTAACAGAGTAGCAGCAGCGTAAAAAGGATGGGGTGGGGGGGCAGTGCAAATAGTCCGGGTAGCCATGATTAGCTGTTCAGGAGTCTTATGGCTTGGGGGTAGAAGCTGTTGAGAAGTCTTTTGGACCTAAACTTGGCACTCCGGTACCGCTTGCCGTGCGGTAGCAGAGAGAACAGTCTATGACTAGGGTGGCTGGAGTCTTTGACAATTTTGAGGGCCTTCCTCTGACACCGCCTGGTATAGAGGTCCTGGATGGCAGGGAGCTTTGCCCCAGTGATGTACTGGGCCGTACGCACTACCCTCTGTAGTGCCTTGCGGTCAGAGGCCAAGCAGTTGCCATACCAGGCGGTGATGCAACCAGTCAGGATGCTCTCGATGGTGCAGCTGTAGAATTTTTTGAGGATCTGAGGACCCATGCCAAATCTTTTTAGTCTCCTGAGGGGGAATAGGCTTTGTCGTGCCCTCTTCACGACTGTCTTGGTGTGTTTGGACCATGATAGTTCGTTGGTGATGTGGACACCAAGGAACTTGAAGCTCTCAACCTGTTCCACTACAGCCCCGTCGATGAGAATGGGGGCGTGCTCAGTCCTCTTTTTTTTCCTGTAGTCCACAATCATCTCCTTTGTCTTGGTCACGTTGAGGGAGAGGTTGTTGTCCTGGCACCACACGGCCAGATCTCTGACCTCCTCCCTATAGGCTGTCTCAACGTTGTCGGTGATCAGGCCTACCACTGTTGTGTCGTCGGCAAACTTAATGATGGTGTTGGAGTCGTGCCTGGCCATGCAGTCATGGGTGAACAGAGAGTACAGGAGGGGACTGAGCACGCACCCCTGAGGGGCCCCCGTGTTGAGGATCAGTGTGGCAGATGTGTTGTTACCTACCCTTACCACCTGGGGGCGGCCCGTCAGGAAGTCCAGGATCCAGTTGCAGAGGGAGGTGTTTAGTCCCAGGATCCTTAGCTTAGTGATGAGCTTAGAGGGCACTATGGTGTTGAATGCTGAGCTGTAGTCAATGAATAGCATTCTCACGTAGGTGTTCCTCTTGTCCAGGTGGGAAAGGGCAGTGTGGAGTGCGATAGAGATTGCATCATCTGTGGATCTGTTGGGGCGGTATGCAAATTGGAGTGGGTCTAGGGTTTCTGGGATTATGCTGTTGATGTGAGCCATGACCAGTCTTTCAAAGCACTTCATGGCTACAGACGTCAGTGCTACGGGTCGGTAGTCATTTAGGCAGGTTATCTTAGAGTTCTTGGGCACGGGGACTATGGTGGTCTGCTTGAAACATGTTGGTATTACAGACTCAGTCAGGGACATGTTGAAAATGTCAACTTATTTAGGCTTGCCATAACAAAGGGGTTGAATACTTATTGACTTAAGACAGATTGTCTCCCGAGTGGCGCAGTGGTCTAAGGCACTGCATCGCAGTGCTAGCTGTGCCACTAGAGATCCTGGTTTGAATCCAGGCTCTGTTGTAGCCGGCCACGACCGGAAGACCCATGTGGCGGTGCACAATTGGCCCAGTGTCATCCAGGGTAGGGGAGGGAATGGCCGGCAGGGATGTAGTTCAGTTGGTAGAGCATGGCGTTTGCAACGCCAGGAATGTAGCTCAGTTTGTAGAGCATGGCGTTTGCAATGTCAGGGTTGTGGGTTCGATTTCCATGGGGGGCCAGTATAAAAAAAAAAATATATATATATATAATAATAATGTATGCACTCACTAACTGTAAGTCGCTCTGGATAAGAGTGTCTGCTAAATGACTAAAATGTAAAATGTACTTAAGACATTTCAACTGTGTATTTGTAAAAAATTTGAAAAGCATAATTCCACTTTGACATTATTGGGTATTGTGTATAGGCCAGTGACCAAACATATCTATTTAATACATTTTTAATTCAGGCTGTAACACAACAAAATGTGGAAAAAGTCAAGGGGTGTGAATACTTTCTGAAGGCACTGTAGGTGCTGACAGGTATGTTATGGAATGGTTTGGAACCCCACTGAAAGCAGTGGACACAGCCCAATACACACTGTGTCCATGCTTGCATATTTTCTTTTATGTACCGAAACAAAATGTATCAATATGACAAACAAACTGTGAGTGAAACAGGATGTCCATTTTCATTGTTCAATATTGACTCACCCGTTTTACATCTTTCCCAAATGTCTCACTGTAGCTGGTCCCCAGGATCTCAAACTGGACGTGGGAGTTGGAACCTCCTGCACGGAAGTCCATCATTCCTGTGAGCCCGGTGATCCGTCTCTATGGCAACAGCATGATAACAAGGATATTTTAAGTGGTCTCTAATCAATCAATCAAAATTCAAATGTACTGTATTTTATAAAGCCCTTTTTACATCAGCAGTTGTCACAAAGTGCTTTACAGATACCCAGTCTAAAACCCCATAGAGCAAGCAATGCCTCCCTAGAAGGCAGGAACCTAGGAAAGCTCAACGCTCTAATATGCTTTGAGTGGTCAATAACATGTTCAGCAATCATCTAAGTTGATTGCTGAACATTTCTGTGAAGGACACTGCAACACAACCTATGCATTAGTGCCAATGGAGAAAGCACCATCCAAATGAGGTGGTTTGGCCAGGATACTTTATACACTCATACTGTATGGCCTATATGTTCCAACTAGCTGGACCAAGGTTACCAGCTCAATCCCAATACAGACCATTAAGAACCTGATTGTAAGTCAATGATAAGAACATGTGCTGATAAGAATATCTGCTGAAATAAAAGGGGTGCAAATTTATGTGCGTTAGATGATGTGCAAAGTAAGTGCAAATGCCCCCCCCCCCCCCTTTTTTTACGCTGCTGGTACTCTCTGTTTATTATCTATGCATAGTCACTTTCCCCCTACCTACATGTACAGTACCAGTGAAAAGTTTGGACACACCTACTCTTCCAGGGTTTTTCTATATTTTTATATTGTAGAATAATAGTGAAGACATCAAAACTATGAAATAACATATGGAATCATCTAGCAACCAAACAAGTGTTAAACAAATCAAAATATATTTTATGTTTGAGATTCTTCAAATAGCCACTCCTTTGCCTTGATGACAGCTTTGCACACTCTTGGCATTCTCTCAACCTGCTTCACCTGGAATGCTTTTCCAACAGTCTTGAAGGAGTTCCCACATATGCTGAGCACTTGTTGGCTGCTTTTCCTTCACTCTGCGGTCAGACTCATCCCAAACCATCTCAATTGGGTTGAGGTCGGGGGATTGTGGAGGCCAGATCATCTGATGCAGCATTCCATCACTCTCCTTCTTGGTAAAATAGCCCTTACATAGCCTGGAGGTGTGTTGGGTCATTGTTCTGTTGAAAAACAAATGATAGTCCCACTAAGCCCAAACCAGATGGGATGGCATATCACTGTGGAATGCTGTGGTAACCATGCTGGTTAAGTGTGCCTTGAATTCTAAATAAATAATAGACAGTGTCACCAGCAAAGCACCCCCACACCATAACACCTCCTCCTCCATGCTTTACGGTGGGAACTACACATGCGAAGATCATCCGTTCACCCACACCGCGTCTCACAAAGACACGGCGGTTGTAACCAAAAATCTCAAATTTGGGCTCCAGACCAAAGGACACATTTCCACCGGTCTAATGTCCATTGCTTGTGTTTCTTGGCCCAAGCAGGTCTCTTCTTCTTATTGGTGTCCTTTAGTTGTGGTTTCTTTGCAGGAATTCGACCATGAAGGCCTGATTCACACAGTCCCCTCTGAACAGTTGATGTTCAGATGTGTCTGTGACTTGAACTCTGTGAAGCATTTATTTGGGCTGCAATTTCTGAGGCTGGTAAATCTAATAAACTTATCTTCTGCAGCAGAGGTAACTCTGGGTCTTCCATTCCTGTGGCGGTCCTCATGAGAGCCAGTTTCATCATAGTGCTTGATGGTTTTTGCGACTGCACTTGAAGAAACTTTCAAAGTGGACTGTCGTTTCTCTTTTCTTATTTGAGCTGTTCTTGCCATAATATGGACTTGGTCTTTTACCAAATAGGGCTATCTTCTGTATACCCCCCCCCCCCCTACCTTGTCACAACACAACTGATTGGCCATAGTTTTGATGTCGTCACTATTATTCTACAATGTAAAACATTTTTAAAATAAAGAAAAACACTTGAATAAGTAGCTGTGTCCAAACCTTTGACTGGTAATGTACATCTTACCTCAATTACATTGACTAACCTGTACCCCCGCACATTGACTCGGTACGGGTACCCCGTCGTTATTGTTATTTTATTGTTGCTCTTTTATTTTTTACTTCAGTTTATTTAGTATCTGTTTTTCTTAACTCTTATTCTTCTTAAAACTGCATTGTTGGTTAAGGGCTTGTAAGTAAGCATTTCACGGTAAGGTCTACTACAACTGTTGTATTAGGCGCATGTGACAAATACAATCTGATTAGATTAGATTTGATGGCGCTTGCAATGCCAGGGTTGTGGGTTCAATTCCCATGGAGGACAAGTACATAAAAGTACAAACAAATGTATGCACTCACTACTGTAAGTCGCTCTGGATAAGAGCGTCTGCTAAATGACTAAAATGGAAATGGTTTCTCAGGGAATGGTTAGTTGTTGAGAGAAATTGTGATTATTTATCATGACTTCAAAATATAACCATTATTATTACAATAAGTGCTTTCACTTTTTTACATTTTCATGAAAACACTTTTGTTAATTTATAAATTATTCATTTTATGAAGTGTTTAATAACAGCCTCTAAATTGATGCAATCAAGTACATTTTGTTTCAATATTTTGTTAATTTGGATAAACACAAAAGACTGAATCATTCTCCTTGTATATCTGTTTTCAAAGAGCTGAGATACATGTGAGGAGAATGCCACATGAGAACGAAAGGAATCAATTTCTACGTAATATGACTTAGTCTGCAATGTCGTGTGGTGTCCTACCTTCTGGATGGTGTCCAGCATAGACCAGCCTCCATTCCAAGGCTTGGTGGACTTCCTCATGCAGTTCAGACTGGCCATGCTATGCCACTTCCTGTCCTCCAGCTTACTGTAGAAGGCGTTGGCCAACATCAGCACACTGTCATACAAGTACAAGTTGGAGACCTGGGGAAAAACAACACATCAAAACATATTCTATAAAAGGTATTGAGCAGAATCAGCAGTGGCATGCAACAACTATCCTAGTTTGAGACCTGGCAGGGAAAAACTCCCAAAACAAGATGCTCAAAAGCACTTGTTGAACCGTGTGAAGGCCAACATAAAAGCGGTTCCTCTCTGCCACTGCCCCTGTGAGGTTTTGGGGAAATTAAGTTCTCAGTAAGGAATATACACTTATGCCAGCATGGCCACAAAATGAAAGGGAGAGACAGACCCATAGTGCTAGCCACCTGGGGAGCAGAACACACCCTGTCTGACACTGCAACGACCGCTTTTATGTTACAGACAAGAGATATGAAAGCCCACCTCAAGTTTTTTGATGGTAGAAAAATACATGTCTGTTGAAATGCCATGGAGCATTTGTGGTCCACCTTTTCTAACTTGTCTGTAGGAAATAGTGATTGTGATTTATTGAAGGAACACTGGACAAAGAGAAGCCCAAACACGTTCCCTGGGATTTTCAAATTGGTATACAAATAGGGTCAATGGATGGCTGAGTCCACAGCATGCTTTCGATATGAGGACACCAACAATGGCATGTATGAATGGCAGGGTACAACAGTGACACAAGGAGAGATATTTGCTGAATGTCACCATTCCTCAGACCTCTGCTCCTCTATCATTGCTCAACCTGTCATCAGTTCAATAAATGTACAAGTACTTTTGTCCTCATTACAGAGGATTTAATGGGACATTTAATCCAGATGGTCATATTGGGTATAGAACAAACACACCTTTGGAGTTCAAATCAATGTGACAGTGGCAAATAGAGTTCACAAAATGGTGACAATTGTAAAAAGTTACAATATAGCTAATTAAATTGAAATTGCAATCTATATTCTTTGTCCCCTGTGGCTCTGAAAACGAAGGCTGCTCAAACATAAACACACTTACCACACCTAAAGGATATGTTATCACTGAAGCTTTATGATGGCTTAATGCACCACTTTATGAATCCTAAGAAAGTAAGTCTGGTGTACTTTTCATGATAATGATTTGACAGTATGGGATAGATAAGTGGCCAGTGCTTTACCCAGCACAGGTCAAGACTATGTCAGAAAACAAAAAGCACCTGTGTATTTCTTCTTTGACAAATACTTCAGTTAAAATTTTCCTAATTAGGAAGATTCCTTTTTATTGGAACTGAGAACAAGATTAAAAAAAAAAAAAGCTGAGAACAAGATTATTTTTTTGGGGGGGGGACCATCTGTCCTAAACAGTGTTCTACACTAGCTATGGAGCTTGCATAGTAAGTCACGGTCACTGCACACTAGATGGAATAGAGAGAAAATGTCAAAGACATTTCTAATGTTGGAAATCTGTGTGCCTGTGCAATCTTAGTGATGGTGACAGACTGAGGTTCTTAACATTGAAGGAAATGACACCGTGTTAGAATGATGACGACGTTCAATGTTGTGACGACGCTGACGGGCAACTCTCGTCGCCCTTCAGTATTGTTTTGGTCATGGTCATGTCTTGTCAATATGTGGGGTGATGTTGGGTGAATGACAAAGTACTCTGTGGAGTTCACTGATGGTATGGATATAGTGTTACGCTGATGACAGGGTGGTGACGGGGCTGACGGTCAGTAATAAAGTCATCTCCGTCACACTGACCTCCAGGGACTGCAGGTAGCCCTCCTGGGGGTCACAGAGCAGGGATGAGATGCGGTGGTTGTTCCTCATGCAGCGGATGTTGGTGTCTCTCCACAGAGGGAAGATCTGCCGTATGACGGTCATCCGGCCTAACGAACTGTGGACCAGCTCCATGATTTCTGTGTCACTCACCTCCTGCGGCAAAGAAGAGAGGGTGGGGTGGGAGGGTTCATGGTCAAAACCATGAAAAAAATAAATGTATAATTTACTAAAACGCTAACACTCTATAGGAACTGGTCTAAAGCTATGTATTCACATATTAATTATAGGACTAGGTACATGGTAACCACAGTGTAGGTATATATTGATAAAATAGTGACTCTTGTTACCAGTTCGTGTAACAGCTTAGTATTAGTATGATTAATCAATAGACCGATCAATAAATACATGCAAAAAACACTCTTCCCAAGATCAGGTTTTCAATTCGTTTTCAGCTGAATATGAATAGGGATCATCACTGTCTGATATCTCTCTGTTCCTTTGATCAATTGACAAATAAACAACAAGTCTCCTTCAATTTCTTAGAATCTCAGAGCATACACCATACAGCTGTGGGTATGAAGGAACCTCCCTAGTCATGTATGCAGGCAGGGGTGAGACGGGGTGAGACAGTCAGGGGTGAGAGGAATGAGTACAAGGCCAGACAGGGGATGACCTATGAAGGGTCAGATCAATAGCAATAAGAGCCAGAGCAGGACAGCAGTCAATGATGTGCAAAACAACCAGCACTGGGGTCAAAAACCACAGTAATGAGGCAATTGATGGTTCAAACTTATCTGTGTTTCTCTCTCTCTCTCTCTAAGTCAACATTTTATCTCTCAGACATTCTATGTTCCTCGTTAGCTGTCTCTCTGTCTCGCTTTCTCCCTCTCTCATTCTCACTTTGTGTCGATTTATCTCACTCTCTATGGCCTTTTGTTCTTTCTATCTCACCATCCAAGCTCATTAATTCCTTTGAGAAATGCATAACTGTTATTCAACAAGCATCCAACCTCATCGATAATTTACTAGGTGTGTACTTTACTGCTTGTATTTTTATACAGCACAAACACACTACCCTATGAGTCATACAAACAGTATTTTGTAGGTGTTAAGTGTTTAAGCTTCCTCTTGACAGCCAGTCAACTGTAAATAATGGATATTCATGAGGTGCTGTGTTGCATTAATCTGTGGAATATGCCACAGGGTCCATGGAGGTATGACCTCACGTCCAAGGTCGTCCTTCCTGTCCTGACCTGTCAGAACGTTCCACCGCCACCACATGTTACCGCTGTGACATCACTTGACACTGCAGTGACCTTGATGGAGCCATTTTACTAACAAGACTAAAATGACCACAGATTAGTGGTTTGAAAGAAAAGCCTGGATCATTAAAGGGGCACTCAGCAGCTGTACATTTTTGGACTTGTAAATTAATTATATGTACCCATTAATTCTTGAAGAATAGAAATTATAAATGGTTAAAACTATAATTTTTATATCATGTCCTTGCATCCTTACCTCTGTCTATGAATTTATGAGTGGTTACATTTCTCCATCCCCATCCCTCAGCTTTTTACCGAAACAGGGGCGGGGACTCGGCTTTGTTATTGTTTCTACTGCTGTTTGCCGCTTTAAGCTTTAATGGCAAGGTATTTTAATGGGGTGTGCAGGGAAAGAGAGCAAGTTTGGGTATGCAGGGAAAGAACATTGGTGGGTTATCCTTTGAGTTTGTTGACTAGTTTTGCACCACTCTAACACAATGTTACTAACATTCACTATTGTGTTACTCTACAATATAATTTCAGTACAGGTCAAAACCGTTATTATAGAGCTAATACATAGCAGAATGAATGAATGTGAGAGAGATCAGCTGTTTATGCATTCAGTGTGGACATACACTTTGGGGGGAAAACACTAGCACAGTTCAGATTACCTAGTTAAGGTAAATTGACCTAGTTAAGACTGGAAACCCAAAATACAACAGAGGGTAGTTTCAATGACACACATCATCTAAATACATTAATCAAATCAAGTCTGGCTGACAGCTAAATTATCCTCAATACACCGCTCAATCATGATATTAATCTTTCAAGATATATAAATAAAGAAATCCCGGTAATCACCATGGAGATTTAATTAGGAGTTAAGGCGCTTTTCTCCCTCAGCTTTAGGCATGTATGCTGAGCAGCTCTGAGACTAGTCAACCCTAGTCTCTCTCTCTCTCTCTCTCTCTCTCTCTCTCTCTCTCTCTCTCTCTCTCTCTCTCTCTCTCTCTCTCTCTCTCTCTCTCTCTCTCTCTCTCTCTCTCTCTCTCTCTCTCTCTCTCTCTCTCTCTCTCTCTCTCTCTCTCTCTCTCTCTCATCACTATATATATTGTGCAGCTCAAAAGTAGTGGCAAATTACAGCATGCATACATAACTATGTTTAACTTTAAAGTGCTTGTCTATTTCCGACTCTATGATTTATAAAAAACATTTGTCTCACTATGTTCATGTAAAATACACATCCCTAATCCAAAAATGTGAATCCTGTCTTTGGGTAGTGGAATGTGTTTTATTTATCTCCACCATGCCCGCTGCTGTTTCACAGATAGTGTCAACATTATCTGTTTCCATCCCAACATTTGTCGGGCGGTTACCTCGGACAATCAGTCATATCATCCCTGTCCTCCTTGACTCTGGCTGTCACGCCGCGCGCCTCTAATCCATCACACACAGACTCAGGTGTCACCTCCTCTCTTTTTTGGGAAAAAAACAAATCCTGTTTGACTGCGTCATCCATCCATCCAGACAGAACCACCAGAGAGTGTCAACCACCCTCCTCTGTGCCAACATCACACCCTGGTTTCGCTGATGATTTAGAGAGAAGGATGCCTTGTTATGTCCTCCCACATACATCAATCAATGATTGGTAACTGATCCTGTCTTGTGGTGAAGAATGTGGAAGATTGCCCAAAATTGGTATCAACAATTGCTGAAGATTAAAGTGACAAACCATCTCTTTTACTCTGCACCATTCTTTTTATAATTCTCAACACTTCTCAGTACATTTTCTTATTTCTCTTTCTCTTTCTCTCTCTCCCTCTCTCTTCTCCATCCAGTCTCTACTTCAGCTCTCCTATCATTGCCTTTTTCACCAGTTAAAGGCCCAGGTCGGGAGTTTCGGCTTTCCATGGTGACATCACCATGTGGTAAATTGATTAGACCAATAACAAAGAGTTCCAAAACTCTCTGCCAATAACAGCTTGTTTCAGTTTTCCCCTCCCCACTCAGACCACTCCCAGACAATCCTAGCTAAATTCTTGCTTGAGAAATAGTTTTTTGCTAAAAAGCTGAAAAGCGACTAATTGCCCATTTGAATTTAAATCTATTACAGAAGCTATTCGATGTTGATATGAGAACGGCTGCATTGGGCCTATAACTCTTCATATTAACTCATTGTGCACTGAGTTTCATTAGCAGTGAGAGTAGATTATCATGGCTGGTTGTGGTGGCTGATGAATGAGACATGAGACCTCTCCGCTGCATCCATGTCCTAGTTAGCGCTGAGTCCCAGGGGGCAGAGAACTGACGGAGACAACCCCTCCTCTTCTGATGCCAGCCTGTCTGGCTCAAAGGCATCACAGGGACCAGGGCAACACACAAGCGGAGAACACAGGGCCTGGAGATTACCTGGCTAAAACGGTTGCCTCCGCCCTGTAACAACACATAGTATTCATACTGCCATGCTGCATGGGGCATGGGGCATATATTCTAATCTATTACATATTATAAATTGGGTAGTTTGGGTCCTGGATGTTGAATGGCTGTAAGCTGTGGTATATCTGACAATTAACCCCCCCCCCCCCCCCCCCCCCCCCCCCCATTCGGAAAGAATTCAGACCCCTTCACTTTTTCCACATTTTGTTACGTTACAGACTTATTCTAAAATGGATTACTTTTTTTTTTTTATACTCATAATTCTACACACAATACCCCATAACGGCAAAGTGAAAACATACATTTTTGCAAATGTATATTTTTTTATTGAAATACCTTATTTACATAAGTATTCAGACCCTTTGTTATGAGACTCGAAATTGAGCTCAGGTGCATCCTGTTTCCATTGATCGTGATTAAGGTGTTTCTACAACTAAATTCAATTAATTGGACAATTGAAAACCAAGCCATGAGGTCGAAGGAATTGTCCGTAGAGCTCCGAGACAGGATTGTGTCGAGGCACAGATCTGGGGATGGGTCCCAAAAAATGACTGCAGCATTGAAGGTCCTCAAGAACCGCAACGCCATCTCCTCCCAAGGAGCCACCATTGGAAGGCACAAGGAGTTGCTTTGTGGTCTCATGGAAGGGCTCCAGACCTTGGCCGAACGCCATGACCGAGAGTTTAACACATTGCTGGAGCAATTCCGCGGGATGTCTGTTAGGCAGCCTACCATGACGGTAACCTCCCAGCCCCTCAGTAACCCGGCTGTTAGCAGCGCGGCCTCCCCCGGAACGCTTCGCTGAAGAGTCGGGAACCTGTCAGGCATTTCTCGCTCAGTGTTCGCTCATCATCGACCTGCAGCCCTCCTGCTTCCCCTCAGACCTCTCTAAGATAGCGTACCTCATCATGCTGATGTCCGGGAAGGCTCTCGCTTGGGCTACGGCAGTGTGGGAACAACAATCAGCCATATGCTTCAGTCTGGAGGAGTTCATGCAGGAGGTAAAGAAGGTTTTTGATGCTCCATTGTCCGGGAGAGAGGCTGCCCGGAAGTTACTCCAGCTTCGGCAAGAATCCCAGTGTGGCAGACTATGCAGTGGATTTCCGCACGTTGGCAGCTGAGTGTGCCTGAAACCCGGAAGCGCTGTTCAACACGTTCCTGCACGGAGTATCTGAGGAACTTAAGGACAAGCTTGCAGCCCCGGAACTACCGACAATCTCGACTCACTCATCGCCTTGACCATTCGGATCGATGGGTGACTACGGGAACGAAGGAAGGAGAGGAAGTCCGATTCTGCCTCGACTCAGAGGCATCCCAGAAGTCCCCGACGGCTCCATTGCCGAGAGAACCCGAGGCTACCCGAGTTCCCCCGAGAGTCTCCGAAGTCTGCCGATTCACCTCTTCCTGAGCCGATGCAACTAGGCAGAGCTAGGCTGTCTCCAGCCGAACGGCAAT